ATACAACACATACGTGTCAAAAGTGGCTTTTAAGAAAGTATCTATTGAAACTCAAAAATCTCCACTGACTTCAGGAATCCCTCCTGAGTAAATAGGAGACATGCCTTTGCTGTGGTGTAAGGCCAGTGGACAGATCTTACTGAGGGTGCCGGGAAGCAGATGATAAAGCTCTGAGGATGTTCTGTTCTTTCAGTACATCAAATCCTCACTGACTCATTCAGCGTGAGTTTTGGGTTAGCCCAGTACTCTGGTCTTCACAAAAGCAGATGACTATAGGGAAATACAAAAATATTTGCTTGTTGAATATTCTCCTTGTTTCCAGCAACTTGTAGATCAAGGACTTCTCAAGCTCTAAGTGGCATCTGTAAAGATTTCTCTTCCATGAGTCTAACCAGTGTCTTCTTGAGCGCATATAAATTTTTAGCACCTACAACATTCTGGTATGAATAAAACTGAGTCCTTAATATCTACGATTAATCAATCCTTTAAGAAGCTTCATTGACTTCTGAACTCCCACCGCAGCACTTAATTTGACTATTAATTTAATTTACCATCATCACCTTTCACTGCTAGTGTTTTTACTCACAGCAGGTAAAGGATGGTTCTCTAGTAACACAGGCGCGTGATTTCCCTTCACTTGAATTCTTCATTAAGTTCAATGCATGGCATTAAACACCAGTGGTGTGTGGAAGGCACAAAGGAAGATCAGTGACATGGTGAGGGCTGAAAAAATTGCATCAGAAGGGTTTTGAGATTAATCAAGAAAGGAATGGGTGAAATACAGAAAGCAACTGACTTGATTCAGTCCAGTTGTTGCTGTTGAGATGAAAGTGAAGAACACAGGTAATACCTATAGCCACAGTAAAACCCCTCTCTCTTCTTGACTGTATGACAAAGATTCAAATTGTCACAACTCTGTGATCACATCGATCACCAAGAAACGTGGTTGATGCACACACACACAAAGACTCAAGAATCCTTGGTGACATTAATGGTAGTCACATTTTTAAGTGAAATATTAGTGCTTTCTTGTGCTCCATATTAAATGTAATGACCACAGGGACTGGCCATTTACAGTCTCCTTTCACAGAATCACAGAATCACAGAATCTTCTAGGTTGGAAGGGACCTTAAAGATCATCTTGTCCAACCGTCAACCTAACTGACAAAAATAGACACCCACACAACAAACAAGGAGCATCATCACTAAACCATACCTCCCAGCACTTCATCAACCCGTCTTTTGAACACCTCCAGGGATGGTGCCTCAACCACCTCCCTGGGCAGCCCATTCCAATGCCTGATGACCCTTTCAGTGAAAAATTTTTTCCTAATATCCAGCCTGAACCTCCCCTGGCGCAACTTGAGGCCATTTCCTCTTGTCCTGTCACCTGTGACTTGAGAAAAGAGACCGACCCCCATCTCTCTACACCCTCCTTTCAGGTAGTTGTAGAGAGCAATAAGGTCTCCCCTCAGCCTCCTCTTCTCCAGGCTGAATAACCCCAGCTCCCTCAGCCTCTCCTCATAAGACTTATTCTCCAGACCCCTCACCATCTTTGTCGCCCTTCTCTGGACCCGCTCCAGC